AGTGAGTATATATATATATATATATATATATATATATATATATGAGTAAAAACAATTATTAAATTACTATACTTTTGTAATGAAATATATTTATAGCTTTTTTTAAGCCTATGAACATAGTATATTAACAAATACACATTATTAATGAGTTTTGATAATATTAATGGATTATGTCTCTATCGTATATATCATAAATATTATATTATTATATCATATGATCTCATATTAATATATTTAGTTTATTGGGCTTTTTAGACCTATTAAAAATATTATTATATGGGCCAATTAGGTGTTGGTAACTCACGTTCGAATGATGCATCTCAGAAGACCATCACTAATTTCTTCAATATCTTTGGTGCATTGAACCTCCATATTCATTAACTCAAATGAAACCTTACCTTGATGTTGTAAACCATTCTGATGGCCTTGTAGCCATTTAAACTTCTCTTAAATCATTATGGTTCATTTGTCTTTGAAGAGAAACTTATACACTTAAAAGGAAAGTTTTAGCTTCAATTCTTTGTTTTATACGAATTTACCAAACAATACAACTTTATAATTCATTCTTTACATAGACAATAAAGGTTAACGATGAAAATTTTAGAAGTTGTAAAAAGTAAAACAAAAAATAACTTAATAAAACTAAAAGTAAAAAAATTTGGACTTGCCAAAAATTATCCAGATGGATTGTCAAAAGAAAAAAAAATTAACTTATACCTAAACTAAAGTCTTTTGAGAAGTTATACTACAAATGAAATCTTTTAGAATTAGTAAAGAAGCCCTTTCATTGCACCTTCTTATATTTTTTTCTATAAATATTTAGAAAAAAAAAATTGTTTAAGATAATCATAGTATTTTAAAGAAAAAAAACATAACCAAATTATTTACAAATCAATAAACCTACAATTTATTAAGTTCCTACTAAATTAACTCATATGTTACCTAACTTACACTAAATGTGATACCCTTCTTAAAAAATGTGAATATTATTTAATACTTATCAAATAGTCAATTGAGCTAAATAATTTGGGGGTGTACCACAATGAGTACTATCCCCTCATAATCTTACAAATGTATTCATACATATACATGAATTTATATGCACATTAATTATCCATACCATGCCTTTTCTTTTTACAAAATGTACTATTTTCAAGTATGACATTTATATGTGACTATTCAATTTGTATTTGTTGGTTGAAATTTAATAATGTATCCATACAATGCATCTAAAGAGAATGGAATTTTCATTTGTAGAAAGAAAAAGAAAATGCAATAGTTGATCTAGTGGGATGGAAGCTAGGTATATACCAAACCACATAGACAATACAATAGCAAAGGGTATTACGGAGAGAGGAACAGCAGAAGAAGGTTATAGATTAGAGAATTGCTAAGAAAGAAAAAGAGAAAATAGAAAAGAAAAAAAAGAGAAATTCAGTGGAATAATCCATGAAACATTTCTCTATATAAATACATATCCACACACCACAATCTCCTTCTTCTGCTGCGGTAACTGCAGAGAGAAAAAGAGAGAAAGAAAAAGGGAAGAAACGGTGCGTTGCGCGGAAAGCGGAAACACGCGGAAGGGGGAATCAGCGGTGCTCCACCGGCGATCGCTCATCGGTGCCGGCGAACTTCAGATCGCTGCTCTTGCTTCTCCGGTAAGTCGGTGGATCATCGCCGCGGCGTTCTTACGTTTTTTCAGTTCATGGATCTGCGACTTTTATCGCCGATTGTCGCGTGCTGTTGCTCGTTTTCCGATTGTTGTGTGTTTATTGAGAAAGTAGGTTTTGGTTTCCGTAATTTCCGAGTTCGTTAGTTTTTTCGGCGTGTGCTAGCGTAGTTCTCGTGCTTAGGGATTGGAATCTGGTGGAAGTGCTGCGTTTAGGGGAATACTGCTTGTGGTGTTATGTTTGTTGTGGATTGTGCTTGGACGTGAATTTAATTTAAGGAATTTGCTTTTTGCCGGTTCGATTTGTGGTTCTTGTGACGAGTTTTGTGGTGTTTGGGGATTGTTGTTGTGTTTTTTGTGTGCAGGAAATTGTGCCATGCGATTCTTCCAGAAGCATTTTTTGTTATAGTATATCAGTGCTGGTTTTTTGGCTCACTGGTGGAAAATTGTTATATATGGGCTGAGGTGTGCTTTTCATGGGAGGTGTGGAGGATGAAGAACCAGCTTTGAAACGAATGAAAGTATCCTCAAAAGGATTAGGTGGTCTCTCAAACGGTTCGTGTTCAGTGGAGCCTGTTGGAGGCTCTTCAAGCGACTTGATGGCGCGGCCCCTGTCATCTGAAGGGGACGGCGAAGTTGTTGGTTCTAGAGGGGTTATAAAAAGAGAGGAGTTTGTTAGGATAATCACAAAGGCGTTGTATTCGCTTGGTTACAAGAAGAGCGGGGCACGTCTAGAGGAGGAGTCTGGCATACCTTTGCACTCGACTGTTGTGAATCTGTTTATGCAGCAAATACTTGATGGCCATTGGGATGAGAGCATAGTCACATTGAATAAAATTGGTTTAACAGATGAAAATGTTCTCCGGGCAGCTTCGTTTTTGATATTGGAGCAGAAGTTTTTTGAACTTCTTGATGGGGAAAAGGTCATGGATGCATTGAAGACATTGAGGTCTGAGATTACACCTCTTAGCACCGATAGTAGTAGAATTCGTCAACTTTCTTCCTGCATGCTTTCTCCATGTGGCCAAGTTGGTTCTTCAAAGCGAGATATTGTACAGGTGAGAACTCGGTCAAAACTTCTGGAGGAATTGCAAAATCTGCTTCCCCCAACTGTACTGATACCTGAAAAGAGATTGGAACATCTAGTTGAACAAGCTCTTATCTTGCAACGAGAAGCTTGCCTGTTTCACAACTCATTGGATAGAGAGATGTCATTGTACTCAGATCATCACTGTGGAAAAACTCAGATACCTTCTAGGACATTACAGGTTAGAAACCGATATTTATATAGGCTGATGTTTACTTGGGAATCTTTATATTTAACTTTATACTTTCAACCTCACGGTAATTTTATGCAAAATCTTTATGGGTTACTTGGTAGTCATTGGTGGCAACATCATTCTCTTTACATGTTCTTTATTTTATTTTTTCTTTTTTCTTTCAAATGGAATTATGTGATGAAGCCACTATTTGCTAGTTTGTCTCCTTGCATTCAATAATTGCTCTATCATATAAACTGCTGTTTTACTAGATTTTGTGAATATTTAGTTTTGCATCTGGCAAATGACTATGATTATCATGTACTTAATGTTGATCATTTTTCTCTTTTGCTGAGATGATGAGACATTATTTATGAGAAGTTTTGTTGATGAACCACCAAATAATATTTTGGTGATAGCAGTTTCACAGCAATTGTCAAATGTGTTGATCTTATACACAATAAATATATGAAGCCATTTTGTATTTTATATCTTAAGATGTACTTGTAAACGTGAAGCTTCTCTATAAGTTGGTTTTTTGGGTGCTAAAGCTTACTTTTGTTCTAGGATTTCTGTTTCACTTATTTATATTGGATTACTTGAAACCATTCATTTTGGGTTCTGCTTATCCTTGTTTGCTTATAGTTTGAACTCTATTTCCACAATGTTCTTGTCTGTTGTGTCTTGTTTTATGTCTTATATTGCTCACTCTTATTACCCTTGTGTCCTTCTTGTTCTGAGTGCTCTTCTAGTCATTTGCATTGGTTGTTTCAGCTCTCAGCCTTAACCTTGAAATCTCCATCTTTCCTTGCCATCTTGTGTATGTTGACTTACATACCTGTAACTGTAGGCTCTTTTCCCCTTAATAAAATAATTCCAATACATTTTGTGTGCCCTGATCGCTCACACATTTACTTGTTTGATTATAGATTTAATTCTATTTCCACAATGTTCTTGTCTCTCATATCTTGTTTTATGTCTTATATTTGCTCACTATTATTACACTTATGTCCATGTACTTAGAATGCTCTTCTAGTCATCTGCATCTGTTGTTTCAGCTATCGAACTTTACCTTGAAATCTCCATACTTCCACGCCATCTTGTGTACACTTACATATCTGTAACTGTAGGCACTTTTCCCCTAAATAAAATAATTTAAACACATTTTGTGTGCCCTGATCACGCACTCATTCACTCATATTCTTACTGTAAGTTGGGGACTGTTTGGTTGAAGAACTTAATTTTGGACCAGGCAAGTACTTGTGTATTTGTTGTTTTTATACTTGAAGTGGAAAATGTGGTTAAACTGTTTCCATATAAGCTGTAAGCTGTTTTAATTTGTTATCTGAGAAAGGTATTGAAATAATCTGAAAGCATCTTGTGGACATATCATAAGCTATTTTTGCATAGGTGCTTATGTCATATGCTAAGTCAAAATAAACTATAAATAAGTTCTTCCTAATGGCCCTTGTTCATCAACTAGAATCCACTACTCAAAGCTAAGGCAACACTTCATTGAGCCCAAACACATTGATGATCTGCTCATACACTGGATACTCAGGTTTAAACTTGGTGCTTACATATCCTTTTTGTAATTGTGGAAGTTCCATGCTTACTATTGCCATTAGGATTGACATACCACTTCGAACTAGATTTGTTTGCAGCTTCAGTCCAGCACTAGCTATTTGTCAGGTCCAATTAAAAGATGGATATTTGTTTTAGCAACATCAAGCTTTTTCCCTATTAGGTGGGGTCAGCTACTTTAATCGAGTGATGCCATAATATTGCACTGTTGATAATTTCTAGAGTCTTGACAAACCAGGACTCCTACATTCTTCTTAATGGCTTTCCTATAACGTTTCCTTTGTACCTCATGTGTTTAGAACTAAGAAATCTACTGTTGCATTTGGTTTAGAGAATGACGTTTTTCATTCCTAGGAGTAAGATATTTGTGAATGAACTTTTGAAGACAATACGTTCTTGACTGCTATCTTGTATCATTTAAACTTATTCCTAGGATTATTTAATTATATAACAAAAATTTGCCAAAAGAACTTTCTTTTTACTCACTATCTCACTCTGCATTGTAAGAACGCACTACCCATTATGTAAGGCATCAATCGTTCTCATGGGAATGACTTGTCCGTTTTCCTCCTCAGTGGGAATGAAGTGGTGGAACTTAAAATTGCATGTGCACCTCGAAATAAATTTTAGATGGGAATTTTTCTTATAAAACACAAAACAAACAGAGGAGTTGGGAATGTTCCATCTCAATATGTCCTAAAAGTTGAAGTGGAAAATGTGGTGGCTAAACTGTTTCCTAAGTTGTAATGCGAATGATCCCTAAGAGGATAAATATGTTCTAAAAGGGAAGAGCAAAAAGAATTGAGGAGAAAGCATCAAAATAATAATTTTTAGACCTTTGTGATTTGTCAACTAGGGAAACACCTCTGGAAGTTCTAGAGTCCGCTATTCTAATGCAGTTTTCTCCATCTTTCTAAGGTAGTGGTCTTTTCCCTACGTACATAGTATACATATTTTTCTTCGTAAAAGTGAAATAGAAATACTTGGCCAATGATTTCATTAGAGTACTAAATAATGAATTTCATGTGATTTTACCTATATAATTATATTCGTCTCCTAGCCAGAGAAGTAAATAACAGTATATAACTCATGATATTTGAATGATTTACAAAAACTAAAGATGCCCAAGTTAGTCAAACTAAAAGTGTAGAAATTTAATCACAATGGCACTATGATATCCGTGGTTACTGTCGAAAAGATCAGTGACAATGACAAAGTAGGTCACGAAGGATGGTACTACATTAGTGCCATATTGTGAAGAGAGAAATTAAAAAGGAATATAATGAAATCTTGTGTTATATATGTACATGAGTATTTTTATTTGTATAATGGGGAATAATTATCACCCTACTTAATATAATCAAATCATATCTCTAAGACTCTCCCGTCAGTTGAAGCATGTGTCATACGAGACAAGCTTGTTTCAAATGTCATGAACCCTAGACCCTTGAGAGACATTGTAAACTTGTTAGCCAATTTGTTGTTGAAGCTGACAAAGTTAGCATGTATTTCCTAGACATGATTTTCTCTCGTCAAAGTGATTCAATATGCTCCCTTCTTTTAAATCCTTTCTTTATCACTCTCCTTCAAGTTGGAATGTACATATCATAATGAGTTGAACATGTTAAAAATGGTTAGAGGGCACAACATCTGGTGGAGAAAGTGGTTGCTGCATACCATGATGTCAATTGTAACCTATACTTGTCGAGAAAACATTGATGGTGAAAAATACTTGTTGAAATAATGTTGGAGGTAAACCATACTTGTGGAGAAAACTTTGATGGTAAAGAGTACTCGTTGAACTAATGTCAGTTTGGAAAAATGTTGGAGGTAAATAGTAATGGTGGCCTTAAGAAAAGCTTGATGGAAAAGGTTTTTCAAAAAGTTGTTGGTTGGCTTGAAAAAGCTAATAATCGGGAAGTCAGGTTGTGAATTGTGACTGCAGTAGTGAGTTGTAAATTTGATGTTGACATTGATGGCAAGGAAAAGATAAAGTTATTGGAAAACATATCTGGTTTCTAAAAACAAAAATTCTCCTATGAGTAGTTGGCACATAGAGAAAGCATGAATTTGGGTTCTTTTCTAGTTAGGTTTGTGATATCATATTGTAAGGGTTAGTGACAAAATAGGTCTCAGTGGGTGGTATTGCTCTAGTACAATATTAAGAAGTGAGAAATTGAGAAGGAATATAATAAATTATGTGTATTGTATTGAGACATAAGCATTCTTGTTTATATTGAAGAAGTGATATAACAAAAAGGAATAACATAAATATCTAAGAATAGGATATATTTGTTAAGATATTTCCCTAGTTACTGATTGAATTGTATTTCTCTCTTGAAAAAATGAGATAGATGCCTCGTTAATTGAATTTGAGTTGTAAATTTTATATATAGGTTTGATCTAAATGTGTTTATAAATGCCAATTCCAAATTCAAGGAGGAAAAATGATGAATGAAGTAGAACATGTGAAGTATTGAACCTTATTTGTATTGGACAAGGTTCTATGAGATTGCAAGCTTTGTTCTTGTCAAAGAAGGCTTTGTGAGATTGCAACCTTCTCAATTATTAAACAAGGCTTCCTAAGATTGCAACCATGCCATTGTCAAACGAGACTCTATGACCTTCTTCCAGCTATTCTTGGATGAGGCTTTTTGACCTCTTTCTTAACGTTTCCACATCCTATGCTTCCATTTGTTTTAGGTTTGTGCTAACTTGTAGTTGATGGGTTGGGTCTTAGAGTTTTAGGTTATTTCAGTCTCTTATTTGTTTAAATTTATTGGGCTTTGTTAGGTTTCCTAGTATGAAACACAAGCAAGAACACACACTAACAACAATTAATAGAGATGAAAGAATGAATTCTATTATTAATAGCAATATAAGTCACTGTACAAAGAATGGTTGGGAGCATAACCTCCCTCACAGGATTCAAAAGAACCTGTCTATACAACTAATGTCCAAAAAACTCCCTTACTCAACACAGTAGGAACTATTTATACAGTTCCTTTCCCGCCCTCTCCTAATTGTTAAAACAATTAGGCTATTTAACTCCTCTTCCTTCTCTCATACACTAACATTGCCTCTTCCATCCCTTTGGTTGTTCCGAGCAAAAACATCTCAGATAACCCTCCAACACCCTGTTTAGCACTTCAGTTTGCCTATTTGACACTGGGTGATAGGCTGTACTCATCTGCAGCTGAGTGCCTTGCATTTTGAATAACTCCTTCCTAAAATCACTTAAAAACAGAGGATCCTTGTCATTGACAATTGAGATGGGCACTCCATGCTACCTGACAACCTCTCTAACAAACACTTCAGTTATCGTGCAAGTTGAATAAGGATGTTTTAGAGGCAAAAATTGGCCATATGTTGACTGTGATGGGAATGTTGACTCTTGCTTCTTCTCATAGTGAAGTTGCAATAGTTGTTGCTTCTAGTGGAGATAGTGTGGTAGGTCGTGGTACGTATGTAAAAATAGTGAAGGAGGGTGAACATAAAGGAAAGAAAGCAAAGTGTGGTGGGAACATTGTGACTCTTTCTTCTGGGTATAGAGTAGAAGATGCGACTGTTTTGAGTGGGGAAAAATTCATCCAAGAATTCAAGATATTGGTGTCACAAGCAAATAAAACACCAAAAGATAGGATAGTTCTTTGCAAGGTTGCAATCTAAAATTCAAAATCGGTTGCCACAACAAAGGACTTAATTAGAGATGTGTAAATTGCTTTAGATGCCGGAGAAGGGTCAACAATGAAGAATCACACCCTCTATAGTGAAGAAAAAATTTAAAGTGGTGAGATTTGTAACAAAAAAATATATTAGGATGCAAGGTTGTCAAACTCGAGAGTTTTTATAAACTCGTGAGAGCTCCGTAAACTCGACTCGTAGACTCGAATCGTAAACTCGTAAGAGTTTACTTTTTTATGAAAAAAATTATAAATAACATATTAATTCAAATATTATAATAAAATAATTAAACAAAAATAGTTAAATTATTTTTATTTCTATTTTTTAATAAATAAGATAATTTAGACTACTATTAATTAAATTTGATTTATTCCTAAACATACTTTAAATTATTCCTAATTTTAGTTTCCAACTACAACGTTACAATACATTATACATTTATTAAATAATTAAAAATAATCTCTAATTCTTAATTAAAAATCCTAATATATATATATATATATATATATATATGTATATATATATATATTACCTTTCTAAAAGCTGCACACCACGAGACAAAAGGAAAAAACTCACAAATTCCCTAAATCCCTTCCTCCAGAAAACAGTGCGCAGCCGAGGAAAGAAAAAACTCATCTTTTTGAAATCGAGAAGAAGACTGAAGACAACCTCAGAGACACTAATGGCAAGTGAGCAAACGACGACACAACTGTGCGATGAGCAAGTAGCGACACGGTGAGCGAACGGTGGCGTCGCGGCATGAGCGAACGATGGCGCCGCAAGGGTGAGCAAACGGTGGCGCCGTGAGCGTGAGCAAACGGTGGCACCACGAGTAATGAAGAGACAATTGTGCAGTGAGACACCATTTTATTCACGGCGAGTTTTCCTTTTTCAGTTTTGCGAACCAAACGATTATGGTTGTTGTCGTTTTTGGTTTAAAAAATTTCTTCTCTAAACTCGCTAACTCAATTGCAAACTCTCGAGTTTGGGCGAGTTGACCGGGTTTGCTTCCGATTCTACCGATTTTACATCAAAAGCGAGTTTACTTCTGAGTTAACTCGGAAGCTGTGTGTTGAAACGCAAACTCGGATGAGTTAACGAGTTAACTCGCGAGTTTGATAACCATGTTAGGATGGTTAGATATGTCCTATTACATTTTTTCCTTTTGTGAAAACATAATAACCTTTAGTAGATGATAATAGTTACTCTTCTTGATTTTAAGAGGACAAGGCATTTTGTTTTGCCATTAATTTCTTATTTATGTCCATAGGACTTTCCATTGGTCTACCATTGATCATACCAAACTATTTTAAGATATATAAAGTATTTCCTTTGAAAAATTACAATACCTTCTTTTTATTGGCTTACTTCAATGTCCAATAACATTTGAGACTTCTAAGATCCTTATTTTTTATTGCATGTGTTCTCTTAGTTGAGAGTTTCTAGTAGCATAGCATAATTCCTTGTAATGACTATTCCATCAATATGTAATATAAGTACACATTCCAAGGGAGGTATGATTGTAAAACCCAAGGATCTGTTACAGTGTTTTAGTCCACAAGTTTGAATAATGTGGCTAAATATTCCAGACCAAACATGCAGAGATTGTTTGAGACCATAGAGTGTGGCACAATTTACAAACCAAACTGTACTCCGCTTGAGTAGCAAACTCAGGATTTTGCTCCATGTAGACTTCCTTGACTAGGTCACTAAGAAGAAATGCATTTTTAATATTCAAATAGTGTAGAAGCCAGGGACAAATAACTACACTATGCCAAGGAAAAGGCGAACAATGGTCATTTCCACCACCAGGGACAAATAACTACACTATGCCAAGGAAAAGGCGAACAATGGTCATTTCCACCACCAGAGAGAAAGTACCTCTCTAATTGAGGCCATAAGTCTAAGTGTATCCTTTGGACAATAATTGAGCTAAGGTGATCACCTTTACCATTGGGTCCAACTTTAAGGACATACACCTAATGACAAACAAATGTCTTCTTCCCACATGGAAGAGGATCTAACTCCCATGTACTCTAATGTTAAAGAGTTGGCATTTCAAAAATTGAGGTTTCCCGTCATCCAAGATGCTCAAGTGCTTTTGTCACACTTTTAGGAAATAGTAAGTAGGATGTGGATTATGAAACAACGAGTACCTTTTAGGATAGCATTGGGCCAACTTGAGTCATCATTATTGGGAACCATGGTCTTGAGGAGACATGGTATGACTGACGATTAAGAAGGACTTGATGAAAAGGACTTACCTTGGAGCATTGCAAAATATGTGTAGGTTGGTAAATCATTTTAATCTCCCAACAAAGGAAGTTTAGGAGATGTCATCTGTATGCAACTTAAGCAAGGTAAAAAATAGGATTATGATTAGGATTTTTATTGAGTACTTACTCTTCACAATCCTCATTGATCACAGAAAGTATTCGTTTTCTCTCATTTTACTAGGTGGATCTATGTCTATTTCTCCTATCTTTAATGCATAACTAGTTATGCTGTTAGTCTCTCATTTGATTATCATATGCCACAAAGATAGTTATTTGAAAGTAAAATAAAAACATAATTAGGACATCTCACTGCAATGGTGACGTGAGTCTCATAAGAACTTCCAGTCGGAGTGTGCTAACATTAAATAAAATTTAAAATATGGTCTAGTATAAGAGTCTATGTCATCTTCCATATGTAGCGCTTTTTGTGATCTTGACAACTAACTCTAAGATTAATTTATAAGTATCCAAACACTTAGGAAACCCGCCCTTAAAAGCTAGCTGTTAAGGGGGAGAACCAAACACTCAAATACCTCATTGAGCATCCCATACTACTTGATGTAGGATTTATGCACTCATAATAGCCAAGTCCCAATTAGTTGCTTTTTGGGCTCACCTAAATATTAGCAGCCACTGCGCATTCCTTTTCATTTAAGATACAATATGATTAAAATGGTTTACATGTAATTTGAAATTAAAGCTTTGTAATTTGGAATGTTGAAATACAATGTAGTTGTTTTGTTTTTGAGTTATCTTATGTTCTTTATTGAGATTGATATAAATTTTGGGTGTTTGATCTATTATAATTAAGTTAAACAAAAAACTTAGTATTTGTCTTAGGGCTTTTGGTTTTGTCATTACGAGGTATCGTTATTGTTTGTTAATCCTTGTGGAGTCACCAGATGGTTATAGCAGATTTACACGGTGATAATGTATGTTTTTGATGATTCTATACCAAGTTTTTTAATGGTTATCTGAAATTGTATTGGATTAGCCCTATCAGTTTTATCAGTTAATGAAGTCAACATAGACTCCTATGTTAACTCATGTTAAAGGTCGCATTTAATGTTTTTACTATCCGTGTTTTCTGACTTATGTGGTCTGTTTTTCTTGCTCTTTGTCTTGTACTGATCCAATATTTTTATTTATTGCAATGTCTTTTGAATGAATAGTAAGCACAAACTTTTGATCATCCTCCATTTACTTTTATGCATACAAGACATTTATGTTCTGATGTTATTTTCTTTTCCTGCAAATATTGCAGATATTAGAAGCACATGATGATGAAGTTTGGTATGTGCAATTTTCGCATAATGGCAAATATTTAGCTTCAGCATCAAATGATCGATCTGCAATCATTTGGGAGGTAATATCTGATGGCTAATCATACTCTCCTGATCTTTTTTTATCATCTGACGTTCCGTGAACATATCAATTGTCATATTACACACTCTGGTCACACAAATAGAATATGATGAGATGCCCTTCATCTTACGACTAAGAAGGATATTTGCATCCTTCAACATGATCCTACTAAGTTCGATAATGTCCAATTGTATCTAACTTGTTTCTTTACTTTTCCAATAGTGAACAGAATTGTCCTAACACTGGTGTGTTTAAAGATAGTAAACCATCTCGAGGATGTGACTTATGGTTGTTAGATTGAGTGTAGTTTATAGGTGTAGTGTTAGATTGAGTGTAGTCTATAGGTGTAGTGAACGCAAGAGCGCAAAGAAGGTAGACCAAATTGATTTCCATCTAAAAGGAAACAACCACATAGCATAGATTTATTATGTATGAATGGTGATCATTATGTCCTAGTTCTTTGGATAAGGTAAAATGAAGAATTAAAAGAGAGCATGTTCTAGTCTCTCCTAGGTCCGCATAGTATGGCACTCATTGGAAAGGTTTTTTGGGTGTCACAAAGTAGCATCGCGGAACAGACAAGGCAGAAGTTGCTGAGTGGTGGCACGGAGCATAAGGGAAACAAAGGAGTAGTGGCGGTGGCTGTGTAAAACAACAAAAAAATGGAGACAGTGGTGGGAAACTAAAAGAGAAGATGAGGACCCGACCTAAGAAGTGAAAACCCTAATCATCCTTCTATTATTCTATTTTTTCCACTAAGAGTGAGCTCAAGTGTTTTTCTTTCTAAAAAGGAGTTGGGCCAAACAACCTGGCCCAAACCTAACATTACAAAAATTATTGACTTAGGATACGCTTTACCCACATTGAACCCGTATCCTCTCCTTCACTATTGTGCAGTCCCGCTGCATGTCCACCCTACCCACATCGAACAAGCAGCTCCTGCATTATATTTTATTATATTTTATTGTTATTTGAATTTTTTAAACATGATTTATTATTAGTTATTTATTGTCTTTCGTCATTTGAGTTACAATTATATTTCTAGATATTTTAAAGTTAGCAATATCTATATTGCATTTTCTATATATATATATATATATATATATATATATGTATGTATATATATATTATTTAATTTTTGTCCACAATGCTTCTGGCATAACCTGTTCTTTGAATTTTAGGAATTTTATGTCTCTAATATTTTCTGTTATTTGATATCAATAACACTAGATCCATTGGTATTTATTGTCCATGAAACCAATCTTGGATTGTGCCATTTCTATACCAATGATCTTTTAGGACATTGACATTTTGTCTAAAACTTTTGAGCGAGATATTGTTTTAGTTGTACAATATCATCCACATATACAATGAGATAAATTCATCCGTGGGCAGAATGATAATGAAACAAAGTATAGTCAACATCATTTTGAATCATTCCAAACAGCTAGGGTTCAAAAATTCCCAAACCATGCATGGGGTGATTGTTTGAGTCAATCTAGTGACCTACATAGGCGACATATTGAATTAGATGACTCCCCTTGAACAACAAATCTAGGAGGCTGCTTCTTGTAGACATCTCCATCAAGGCCACCATGTAGAAATGCATTTTGGATCTCAAGGTGAAACAAAGTGCCACTACTTTGAAGGGCATACATCTCATCACTCATCACTTATAATTAAGGTTTGTATAGTGGGGAGAAGGGTTACAAGTTGAATTTGTACGTTTTCAAATAGCAATAGGCCAATCACTTCTAGATGAGACTGAACTCGGTATGGTAGACGGTTATGAGGAAGCATAGGGCATACCATCTACTATATCTTTATTTGTCAAAGATGGATTTCATATTGGAATATCAATAGTTCATGAACGACTTTGATATACCTATAGTGGTGTAAGAGAAGCATCCCGAGTCATCTAGAGGTGATGAAGGAACATTCAAGTTGGTGGGAAAGTGACTACATATGCCATCACTAGAATGGACAATTGTATAGTATGAAACAAACTCTGAAATAGACGTTGACAAACACAAAATACTGATGAAGTATAGGAGAAAAACATTGATACCCTTTTTGGAAGTGATGAGATCCCATAGACACATTTGAGTGATGTAGAAGAAAGTTTATCTCGACTGAACATATCAAGAAAGCTTGTATAGGGGAAATGAGGAAAAAAGACCGAGTGAGGTACCTAATCATTAAGGACAAATGATGGGGTATTTTTAATGAGATAACATTTGTAATAACAACGTCCTTCAAAAATGGTGAGCAAGATAACTATTAAGAAGTTTCCGAGTAGTTTCAATAAGGTGTTTTTTTTTTCATTTGTATGTTCTATTTTGATGAAGGGTTAGATTTCATGAATTTTTGAAATTGGTTAGAAAATTATTCACAAGCATTCTCACTACAAAGAGCACATATAGATATACCAAATTGTTGTGTTTTGATTTCATTATAAAACATTTGGAAAATAAAAGACACTTTTGATCAATTCTCCATTAACCAACTTCAATTACATCTTGCATTATCATCAATTAAGGTAGCAAAATATTCAAAACATAAAGAGTATCAATAAAGGTAAGACCACAAATATTAGAATAAACTAAAGAAAAATTAGACAAAGCTTGTTTATTAAGACTATTAGGAAAATATTGACAAACATGTTTTTCTAATTAACATGAATCACAATTTAAGGTAGACAAATGTTTTAGACTTAGCACCATTTTTTGTTATTTTGTTAACTCTAGATGTCCTAGTTGTGCATGACTCATTATTGGAGAGTGATAGGATATAAGATGATAGGATATAATGGGTTTAGGATAGAAGGAAGAGGAAATGAGAGGGCGGTTAGGAGGGGGGAAGAGTTGTTTGAGAGTTAGTAAGTGAGTGGGAAGGGGAAGGGGGACTTTATAAATAGAGTGTGTTCTGGACAGGATTAGTTAGTTCTTTTGTACATTTGAGTATAGATTGGATAGTTGTTCCAGTGGAGAGAGAGAGGCTTCCTTGGGGTGATTCTTTGTATTCTGATTCATTCATACATCAATAATACACATTCTATACAGTTCTATTTTGTGTGTTCTTGAGAGAAGGAGAGTGTTGATAGACTTCTTGACTAAAGAAGTCTATCAGAGAGTCTATTCATGCACATATTGGTGATGGATAGAAATAGTACAGGCCATGTGACTCACATTCGGCACCAATTGTCTGACTGGATAGTTGATCCTGCAAGGTAACATCATTATTAGTGAAAGTGGCAGTTGGGTAACAGGAAGTGAATTAAATTGTCAATTTGGGACATAAACAGAGTCAACAGCGAGGGAGAGGGGTTGGGTAGTACCAATGTCACGGGTTATATTTGTGAACTACTAGTATCAATTATAAAAGTCAAATTGGTAGTTTTAGTAAAGGAGGAGAATAGGTAACAATTACCAGATATGTAAGTAGTTGCACTAGAGTCAATTACTCCAGGACCAAGAGAACGAGATTGAGAGAGACAAGTATAGGATTTCTAGAGTGTGCCACCAAAGTAGTGTTATTAGTGGATAAGGGGATTGGTTTATTGGGCACTATTTGATAAAGTCTTCAAATGTTGTTGGCGATGGATTAGCTAGTAGTGTAGGAGCAACAGGTGACTCAACCATGGATGCCTGGGCAATATTGTGTGGAAGAGGGGTTTTTCTCATGTTGCTTTTGACACCTGTCAATTGAGCCTCTTTAACCATTGTTCCTGATCTTAGGTAGCCCAATCATACTGATTTTGGAAGCCTAAGTGAAATAGTCAAGTCCCATCCATCTTCTCAATAATAACAATATGGCTAGAGAAGATGGGATAATTTGTAATGGCAGTTGATGTGGCGATGAAAGGCATT